GACAAATATTGCAGGACCTTTGCAGTCATATTGCTTTAATTAAGTCCGTGCTGCGGAGAGGGAACACACCCACCTGCCCTCTTGCTAATAACACAGCGAACAAAAAAGAGTGCACGCGTTTTTTTTTTTAAAACATCGGACACGATTTATTTCATTATTGGCACAATTTTGCGATCATTGTAGAAACGTATTCAATAAATATCACCGGCCCGCACACCACCCCGCCCTCTCCCCAATAACCCTGTTTGACAAAGGTGTGTGGCAGCATCGTAGTTGGGGGACACACCACTGATGAGCCTTAACAGGGGTGAAACCACGTAACACACTTGTTATGTCGGGCGGCAGGGCCAGTACTGCTCATGTGTCGCATCAAAGAGTGAAACAGGTACGCATTTGAAATTAACGGTATGGGACATACACGGCAATGCTGATGGTACTTAATAACGGTAAAACCAGCAATAATACAGCCCTCAGGTCAAGCAGCAGAGCCACACCGCACTGATGATAATAAAGGTGAAACCAGTACACAGCTATCATAACGTAGGGAAAAAAAGGTATATACGAATTAAACCAGTACGCGCTTGTTACGCACTGGTGATGAATAAAAATGAACGTAATAAACAGTCCCCGTACTGCCCTTTCCTGGCATTAAGTTTTAGAATATGAGATTAAGTGTTTTGTTTAATCCTGGTGGCTGACAATCGGGCTGCTGTGCACATTCACACCAGCAGATGGTGCGGGTTTCTCCCACGAAGTCTTAGGCGGTCTGGAATTATATTGATTCACAAGCAGTAATTGCATGGCGAATCAACCTCCATGGCTTATGCATAATAGTACAGCTTTACCCACAATACGGTCATAAAGGGCGCTTATCCACTAGACAACACAATTCGTTTTTTTAAAGGGCATCCGGGGAGATAAAACTTGGCTTTTACAAATTCACCCCCAGGCCATAAACACTCCAGGCGTCTCGGACCATAGTTAATCTCGCCCATGCTATCGATTGATCAATCGGTACTCGTGCAGCAGTTATTACAACCTGTCATCATGCAACAGTTTACAATGGAAAGAATCGGGGGGAGTAAAACTGCGTGACATTTGCAACTGATGCTGGACGTGATTTAGCCAGAAGAAACTGGCAGACATCGTGACAATAAAGATAATTTGGGCCCCCCCCCCCCCGAATGTACGCAGGTTGGTCAATCGCCCATCCTCACGATTTGTTTGTCCTAATGCCACATTGCACACATTTGCTTCATGTGCCTAAAATTAAACCCTTACGGCTGCGTCATCGAGAGTGAGTTTTTCGGTACTTGGTATCTACTCATGCAAACTATTCGTACGCCAATTCATTGTCCGATGTTTAAAGGGTTTCAAATAATCGCAATGTGAAATTACATCTTCGGCTATGATTCGCAACTTTCGACACTCTTCCCCTCTCTCTCTCTGCTCCAAAGATGGGCCACTGTCCGAAAGCATAGGCCAAGCGTGGCTGAGCACACCTGTAATAGGTGGTATGGGTCATCCCCGCAAAATTGTGCTTGAGATACCCATTGGAAAGACGAGGAGCCCGGTAAGATGCAACGTTGGACCAACGTTGGTTGACACTGGGCCAATCCTGGTCCTACGTGACATGTTCATTGGAAGGTGGTATGCGGAACATGGTACAGCATGTAGACCGTTGACCTGTGTGGATATTTGAGAATAATCCCATTACAGTGCACACAATGCTCCGGATTCCTCCCACATTCCAAAATGCTCAATTGTGAATTGGCCAAACAAGTTAAACTGGGACCCGATTGAAAAGGGTGGCTCGATCCTCAATTGGTACTTTGACAGGTAAGGAACCTTTTTTTGTTATATGTACAATTCTTCAGTTGTGAAAGCAGTGTAAGGAGTGGCAGCGCGTCTCCGATGTTTTATATCTGCTTAAGGTGATTCAGGCAAAGGGGGAAGGGTCTGCGAGGCCTAGCGTGACCTTGTCCCTGTTGCTCAGTGCACTCATTATAACAGTAATCAAACATTAAATAAATATAATAATTATTAAATTATCTGATTAAATTAAGCAAGCTGTTGAACGTAACGTAATACAGAACCTTAAACGCATTTTACATGTGTTTTTTTCTCATTAGGCATGTTTCTGCAGTCACTTAAAACTTTAATAAAAAAAAAATAAAACCCCGGGTGAGTTTACTTGACATTCCAATTTTATTACGGTATATTTTAAAACCGCTAAAAGGTCTTTTTACTTTCAGTGTCGATAAAGTTCTTTACATTAAAAATAATAAGAACGCGTGTTTTAGCTTTTGAATTCATTTGCAAACGTTTGTGGTTCGCAATTTGCTGGAGGAGGAGGAAGATGCTGTGTTGTTTAAAACCTGAAATCGACTTAATTGGTCAAATCCCCATCTCGTCAAAATCTTTCTAATTAAACCCATTCTGTCGGCTAATGACCACTTGCTTCTTTGACCATTGGCACTTCAGGTAAAAAAAAAAAAGCGAAAACCAAAATAACTGTGCTTAAAAATTCTAGCCTGAAGTTTGTAAATTAGTTGCAGGGTTTGTAAATAGCTTTTAGTAAATTAGTTGCAGGACTACTGTACATTCACAGAATTTGGGAATGGATCTAACCCTGTTCATCTAATCAGTGTTCAAAATCCCCGTCGACATTTTTGTAGTAACCCGAGTGCCGCCCCGAATGGCACACAAAGGTGGTTAATAGTAAAGGCGCAGCCCTGCAATTACCTGCCCAGGCCACTCGCTGGCAGAAGGGCCTCCACTTAAAGGACCTCTCGACAGCCCCCCCCCCACCCCTCCCATCTTGCCTACGTTTCCACACTGGCTTAAACGTCTTGTAAGAGGTGGAGGTGCCCACACTTTACCCCACCGTACTGCATCCTGCCGATCGACCGTCGGTTTGTACCTATTTACACTGCCAGGTTGTACAGGGGCGAGGATGCGTTCAGTTGCCCCACGCGGTGTTATTTCAAGGTGTGTGGCAGCATCGTTGTTGGGGGACACACCACCGATGATCCCTAATCGGGCTGAAACCACGTAACACACTTGTTGTGTCGGGCAGCAGGGCTCCACTGCTCACGTGTCACATCGAAGACTGAAAAGGGTTACGCATTTGAAAAGAACGGTATGGGACATACACGGCAATGTTTATGGTACTTAAAAAAACCGGTAAAACCAGTAATAATGCAGCCCTCAAATCAAGCAGCAGAGAGCCACTCTGCACTGAAGATAATAATAATAAAGGTGACACCGGTACACAGTTGTCATCACGTCGGGCAAATAGGGCTATTCTCCACTGCTGGTACACTCTGTGCACCGCTGATGTGCGCACTGTGTGTGCACCGCTAATGTGCACAAACTGTGCACCGCTGATGTGCACACAGTGTGTGCACCGCTGATGTGCACACAGTGTGTGCACCGCTGATGTGCACACAGTGTGTGCACCGCTGATGTGCACACAGTGTGTGCACCGCTGATGTGCACACAGTCACTGGGCACCACTGATGTGCACACAGTGTGTGCACCGCTGATGTGCACACAGTGCGCACCGCTGATGTGCACACTGTGCGCACCGCTGATGTGCACACTGTGCGCACCGCTGCCCGAGTCCAATTGCCGCGCTGCTCCGAGTCTGCATCCAATGCTGGAATAAACGGAACCCAAAAACACACACACACACACGTGATTCACATGCTCGTGCCACTCTCATGATCATCCCGACATGAGTAGCGCGTTAATCTTGAGTTTGAATCCAATCCCGCAGTGGTGAAGCATCCCCCAAGCCCATACCAAAGGGATCAGAACCACATTCTGAGTTAGAACCCAGCTTTAATAACCTCTCAGGCTATTGCGTTCGCTAATTCTAGTCCAGCAGAGCCACTTTATTATTAGTCATGTATTAAACCTTAATTACAGTATAGTAATCTCTCTGTATATATTAATACGTTACGTATAATACAACGTACCTTAAATATGCATAGATATCCGTAATTTCAAACTAAGTCATTATAGGCGTGATTGGTTACAGCCATATTTGCATCAGAAAGCGAGTGATATTGAGATTACATTAAATACCAGTTATTGATTACACTGACGACAGAACCGATCATTTAAGGCAGTTAGCAAACATACAGGAACGGCATAGTCACGATAATATGTTAATATTGCTTAAATTATGCCTTATATAATATCAATGCGGTAATAAATAACGGAGATTATAGCGTTTTAGATTGTTGCGGCCTAGTTGGAATCAGAGCCTCGTCCGAGTGCAGAATGCCTTGGAAGGGTTGGGCTCCAGCAGAAGTCAGAGTTAGAACTACGCTAATTCAGTTACATGTATGAAGAGAACAATAGTACACGCTATCTCGGTGATTATTCGATAGTAATTCTTCTTGAAGCAGATGTCTTGGCTCTGCCACAACATTTAGGGCAGGACGGTGTCCATTGTTGCTGGGTGGTCAAAGGCCACAGTCCTATGAATTACATCTGTGGTATTTAAGTTTAAATAAAGTTTCATATTTAGTGGTATTTTCATTGTTTCTGTTTTATGTGAATTTTTATTTTAATTACATTTATTCCACCGCGCACTTTCACCCGACCTGGGTGATATGGGCCAAGGTAATTTGAAACATTGATGTCACCTTGCATAACCTGCAGAAACGACCCTAACCTCAACTACCCACTCATACGACGCCAGGACCGCTCTTTGTCCCGAGGCAGTGGTCAGAATCGGATGAGGTCATCGCACCTTCACATTCACTCTATATATACGACCTCTTACACACAAAGTGCTCGCCACAAATAAACCACAATACCTTGCTGATCTCGCAAAGGGGCATAGAGCATCACGCAAACCGCGGTCATCCTCGCAGTGGCTTTTGGCTAACCATCGAACAAAGATGGTCACTGCATCGCGCGTTTTCAGATGCGATTCTGCGTCCATCTGGAATGCTCTTCCTTCCAATATTAGGACGCCACTGGAGCTTATGCACTGTTAAATCTAGATTGAAAACGAATTTCTTTAGAATTGCTTTGTGTTGAATTTGTTGTCCTTTCCCCGCACCTCCGATGAGTATGGTTGGCTACGTACGGTGCGAAAGAAGTTCAAATACAGGACATACATACTGCCCAGTAGATATTGAACGTTGGGCCGATATTGGGCCAACGTCGGTCCACCGGTTCAAACCACATGCCAATGATGGCGCAATGTTGCATGTTTACTGGGTAGATGCCGGTATCGATGTCTTATTGTGGCATATGTCGCCCGGCACCAAATGTGTGATGTCTATTGATGTGATTGACCGGTGTGATCGTGTGATTTGCGAGACAGCACATAGCTTGCGAGGCAAAGAACCACAGGAACTAGGAACCAACAGATCCCAGGGTCAGTCGACACAGCCAGATAAATTGACTCATGTTAAAATGATCGAAATGATCGTGTACCATCAGTTAGCATCTCGAACTGTTTTTGGTCCAAGAATATTTTTTTCAGGTTTTTAAAAATATATTAGTGTCATATTTTTCATGTTTTTACGCTTTCCACCCCCCCACCTCCCCAATGTGAATATTCGAAATGCGTATGCACTTCTTCACACCGATGAGACGCATCATCTTGCAACAACTGAGAAGTGACATCACAGGCTTCCTCTGACGTTTTTAAGAAGTCTATCTCGCAGAAAGTGCTCTAACTACTCGACATTTTTACTTAGTCGTGAAGGTGAATTAATTGTTCACACAATGCACCCTTCTGGCTCAGCCTCCGGCCTGGGCTCCACCGAATGAAGTGCAAAACCAGCGGTGAGGTGGTTTCATTTTGTGCTTCGTCGGCGACTTTGCTGCTGAACGGATCGAACTTGCACTGAACAGAAGGAAGGCCCAGATTTGGCAACAGGAGTTGACGCAGTTCACACCCAGCTTATTCTCAGTCCTGCCTCAGGATGACAAGCGCCAAAGAGCCACCCAGCCACCTTAAATCAACTATTTCCTTTCCACCATAAATTCGAGGTTCACTTAACTTAAACAACAACACTGAATTCTGATCAACCGAATACACACTGAATAAATAATGATTTGGGCTCACAAATAATAACAACAATCTGGAAAATGAACGTGTGCACTTTAAGGTGTTGAAGTCAATCGCCAACAACTGGGGGCGACGGTTGCCGACCCTTGACCCGGACAATGCTACTAAACGTTCGTTGTGGGCCATCAGCTGCGCTGCTTGCCGAGCGACCGCACGAGCGCCGCCTGCTCGCGCTCCGAGGCTTCGCTCTCCCCCAGCCGGCCGCCCGGCCCGCCGTCGTTGACAGGACGCGGCAAGAAGTGCGCGTTCTTATGGTGCCGGCGAGTCCGCGTGCCGTCCCGGGGTGAGCCGTCGCGGTTGAGCGCCACGTACAGGCGGCGGGAGGAGAGCGCGTGGCGGTGGGCTGCGCTGGCGTACGTGTTGTACCAGTTCTCCTCGAACTGCTCGCGGAAGATGGTGTCCGACGACATTGCGGCCTGGGGCCACGTACGCGAGACACACACCGCGACCACAAAATGAAAGGTCCGTCGCGTAGAAGTCGTCTTCCGCTCAATGTTGAGCGCTGAGGCGGTGCTCATCTACCGTTTACAGCCAGCACCCCCCCCCCCCCCCCCAGCTTCAGCCAGTAAACAGTAAATATGTCAATGTCGGCCCAACGTGGACATTGTCGTTGGAAACGCTGGACCAACGTTGAGCCCAAAATTCCATGTTTACTGGGGAGCCAGTGGCATAAAATCCACAATCCTATGGTGGGTATACGGTAAGTCTATTCATAGTGCTACCACTGTTGACTGCACCACAAAGTGGTACAGTAGTCGGTGTGTAGGATCAATGGCAGAGTGAGCGTCTCAAAATCATAAAGTTGCGAGTTCACACAGCGAGGTGTGGTGCAGACCACACCGTGCCATCGTGCACTGTTTGGGTATTAAATGTATCGATGGGTGTTTCAAGTTTAATTTATTAGGCATAGCCCTGTGAGCCATGCGGCTCTTGAGTCGGGTGCAACCGCAACAAACAAAATATGAACAGAGAAACATCTTAAAGCGACGACGTGCAACAGAAACATCCTGGATAAACCAGCAAATCTTCCAGAAAATAAACACCGTATTACAACGCTGTGTGAAAAAATCCCATTGTGATGCAAGACAAACAATAACAACCATAAGACAATTTAGATTCAAGTTATCAGGCCAACTCTGCACTTCCGCAAGAAACATGGCTTAACCATATGTTTTAGAAATCACCAAAATAAAGCTATAAAATACAATGTAACAACAGTAATCATAGGAACTTTGATTAAAATTTAACAATAAACGATATACATAACATGTACGAACAAACTTGCAGCCATATCTGTCAGCATGACACTCCCTGTGTATGATGTGTGAGTGAGTCAATGGTAGTGAGTGTATGATGTGTGAGTCAGTGTATGATGTGTGAGTCAGTGGTAGTGTGAGTGAGTGTATGATGTGTGAGTGAGCGTATTATGAGTGAGTATATGATGAGTGAATCATTGTATGATGAGTGAATGGGTCAGTGGTTGTGTGAGTGTATGATGCGTAAGTGAGTCAGTGTATGATGTGTGAGTGAGTCAGTGTATGATGTGTGAGTGAGTCAGTGTATGATGTGTGAGTGAGTCAGTGTATGATGTGTGAGTGAGTCAGTGTATGATGTGTGAGTGAGTCAGTGTATGATGTGTGAGTGAGTCAGTGTAAGATGAGTGTATCACGGCCTCCTCCACGCCATCGCGGCCTCCTCCCCACCATCGTGGCTAACAGCACTTGCTCCAAAAGTCTGTGAGAGGTAGGCTATTTGGGGGCCATGTGTTTGTGCTTGCGTTTGTGTGTGCGTGGACTCACTGTTGCATACAGCTCTCCGCGCTGGTTCATGGCGAGGTACATGCCCGTGTGCGCCCCGCGGATGTTCACCAGCCCCACGGCCACGCTGATGAACTCGAGGATCCCTGCAGAGACGGGGCCACATCTGTGAGCAACGATCACTTCAGCGAGTGCACAGTGGTCGGTGGAAACAGCAATTGGCTGGCAGTAGGTTTGTTATCATGAGCAGGGGACAGCATTTCACAGTCCCCAGGTGGCACTGGTGCATCCATAACACACGTGCACACACATCCCTTTTGTCAATCCACTGCTGGACGAGGGCCTCCTCATGCCGCGTGGGTCGTTGTGCAGGTTATTCGGCCGTACTTCACTGCGCCCGTCAGTGCATGTTGGTGATGGGCAATGAGCGCAGACATGGGGCCATAGTATAATACAACAATTAATTTTACTGCACTGCTCTCAGCCTATTACACCTGCTTACTTTGCCGCCTCGCACCTCTTCCAAGACATCTGCGAAGAGGTGGGAGTACCCACACAAAACATCTGGCAAGCATGGAAGAGTAGGCCAAATACCCTCTATATAGCTCTCTCTGGTGCAGTCCTTCAGCCAGTCGTGGCGTGAGCGAACAATTGGCAGGGCTGCACTTTTCCCTTCTGCCTTTTAATATAATTGTGAATTCTGATGTTTCCAAACTAATACATGACATCGTGATGAGAAAAGGCTCATTTGAAAATTGTAGTTCCCAATATATATACAGACACACAATAAGTTATCGTGAGGATTGTCATATATTCATTGACCGGAATTCCAACAATATGACATGGAACAACACGTTCAGTCGTGTGCACGATCACTCCAGACCCAGACTACGTCGAGCACATGGTTTCACCTATATCACAGTTATTGGGAAATATTTTTTTTTACCCACAGCACTTAAATTCAAAGTCTGCAGAGTCTCCTGGCATGGGCGCTAGCCCCCGCGAGGGACACCCAACCCCAGGGCACGAGCTGAGGAACTCAAAGAATTTGGCTCGGTGTCACATCATGGCCATTACAAACGCCCCCGAGCGATGTAAAAACCCAACCCGGGGCTTGAACCCCCTCCCTCCCTGATCCAAAGAGGTTCAACGTGAGGTTCACAGTTATCTTGATATGGTCGTTGTGATCCCACAGATCATCATATACTCCTTCACTCAGCACTGTCATCTTTGCAACGTTTTATAAAGTGGCGGTAGCAGCAGCAGCAACGAGGGGTCCTAGACGAGACATGCGGCAATACCCCCCCACCGCCCACTACGGCCTAAACCCTCGCAGCGAATCAATACATTTAAGAATCTATTCTTTCTAACTCTTTCCAACTTGGGTTGACAGCGTCAATGCATCAGCTTTGTCCATCTGTCTGAAACGAAGAAGGGGGCACGATAACTCCCGTAAAAATGATCTGGTACGAACGAAACGCCAGTTTAAGGTTGTGTTGCCATTAACGAGTTGCCATGTAAAAAAAAAAACCCCAGTCAAATTGATCAAAGCGTTGCCCCAAGTTTGGAGAGCCATACGCCGCGCACTAAAACGACCCACTTTGACATCCTGGCCCTTGTCCGTCTCGTCGCAGCCTACAGATGTTACCGCTTCCCGTCTTGCCCCGCATGGGCCCTGCCGTTATTATCGCTGATTAAAGACAAACACTGTCAGGTATCGGAAGCTTTAAGTGAACGGAGAAAAAAGCAGGCTTCCAAAATTACCGTGAGCTTTATCCAAGATTTTAGGAGTGTTTCTTAACCACGTCTGGCACAGTCTAATAAAACTTGAAGGGAAAAAAAAATCCACCAGGCATGTACTAAAAAAAAAGACATAACAACGCAACAAAGTGTTTAAAACGAAAAGAAAAATCCCCTGTAAAACACCTGCAATGCATGAGGGTTTTAGCAGTCAAGGAAGATGATGCCCATCGGTTTCTCTGCTTTAACGCACACTACTGGGTTCGCAGGCAGAGTAGCGGGGCAGAATACCTGACCTCTTATTCTCCAATGCTCATATTGTCCCAAGATTACCACAGGAGAGTGTTGTGAACGTACCGTTTCGCGTTCAATTGGAAATCAATTGGAAATGAGAAGGCACGCTTCGGGGATTTTTGTTAACCGTGGATGTTAAGGATCATTGGACGCCCTTGCCTGCAGGCACGCAGCCTCTGAGGCTCTGGTGCCGCTCGCACGCATGACCCCCACTGCCCGGGAACCCTTCTCCCCGTTTCAAAACGTACGCAGAAGGGTGTACAAAAAGCGTTTCAGAGCCTTTGTGTATTGTCACCATCAAAATAAATTAGAGCAAAAATGTTGACCTACCAACTGACAGGCAGCAGCGAGAAATACACGAGACAACTGGAGACAACTGGAGACACGGTGGTGTCATCATCACTATTGGGGCTCGTCAGTAGAGTGCGGTCACCAAATGCCGACCGCTCGCAAAAAAAAAACCGCTCTGCCTCCGGTATCCACTTACCGAATCGGCTGTGGTCCCGGCGCGTGCCGTGCACCGTGCCGTTGGGCAGCAGGGTGACGTGGAATCCCGTGCGGCAGTAGAGCTGCCGGCGCCGCATGACGCCCTTCATGTGGAGCAGGCCCCCTCCTCCGGCTGCTCCCAAGATGCCCATTCCGGCGCCAGCGCCGCCAACGACGCCGCCGCCGCCCCCCTCCGCTCCGCCGCGGCCCATGTGCTCGCTCAGGGACATCACGTCGGCGAGGTGGCCGCTCTGCTGCTGGAGGCCGGCGCTGTGGTGGAGACCGGCGCTCTGGTGGTGGTGGTGGTGGTGGTGGCTCACTGGATGTTGATGGTGGTTGCCCTGCATGCTTTGTAAGAGTGCGCCCAGTGGCTCGCTGGGTAGAGATGTCATTACGTTGGCCGGGATTCCGTTGGTGGCGGCCGCGAGGGCCTGCAGGGCTGAGGTTATCTCTGCGATGGCCGGCATTGTTGTGAACATGCAGAGGTGAACGATGCGGGTTTGTGTTTAAGACAAAATAACGCCGGCGATGCAGATGTCTTGTTCGCACGAAGGTTGACGGGTGAAACTTGACTGCTTGCCCTTGAACAAATTGTTCTCGTCTGAAGAAATCCACGTGTGTTGGAAGCTGTCTTGTTTGTTATTGAAACCAGAATATTCGTGAGTCACTGTCCCTGGATTCTTAAGTGGTGGTTGAGGGAGCAGATTCTGTTTGGATTCCGTTTGATTCTGTTGGGTTCGGATATGGATAGACAATTGTATGGATTTTCTGGAACTGTGTGTGATTCACAATCAAGTCATTAAACTTGGAATTAACTTTATTTGAAGATTTCCAATTTCAATGCCCAACCAACAAACATCACACTTTATTCTTGACAATGAATTGAGTGTTTGCAGATTATTTTTGAATTCACGAATGAAATTATAATCAAGAAATAAAAGTGCCTAGTTGTATCCAACGCTTTTAAATGTTCTCACGTATAATTTGCTGTGAACACTATTGAGTCAGGCGCATCCACGCTGTGTCCCGCCTACTTGTATCCTCAGAAGTCTGAGTAAGCTGTAACCCTTTTAGTTTCCCTTCAGGGCTGAGTCAAAATTATTTTATTGGGCGTCAATTCAGCCCTCGTACAGACGCTGTTGGCCGTGTGCAGTCCAGCTAAGGCCTGCCGCAGGCCTCAAATTTATACTGACGTTAAGTTAGTTTATGAACTATAGGAAAAACATGTTTCAATTTAATAGAAGAGATGGCTTGGTAGAGAAGACGTTTGGAAGAATCTGGAAGATCTGGTCGTTCTACGTCTGGGAAGAAACGTTATGATGGTTGAGAGTAAGACACCATCCACGAGTTTCTGGAGACCTTGGATTGAGATGGCCAAACTGGGGTTTTAAAGCACTCGGGACACTTTTCAAAGGTTTGCCGAGTACAGGCCTGAAAGGCTATGACCCCAATTGGCCAGCACTAATAGTGAAATAGCAGATGTAAATGTTGTCGACGTTTCTTTGAACAAGGCTATATAAGCCAATGTACACTGACGATGAAAACGAGTCTGACACCAGAGAATGGAGGATGATGGTGGTGATGATCTTGGCTGCGATTAATGATCGATCATAACGCCTGCCGGGCACACTGCCTTCAAGTCCAATGAGAGACAAGTGGAGGGTGCCGTCGCCCGGGGGGCTTTCGTCGATCGATGTTTTGTTGGGCCGCAGCGATCAGAAATCCAAGCTGCACGTGGTGACTTGGCGTGAGCGTCACGGGGTCACACGAAGTCCTAACGGGGTCGCAGTCACACTCGGGCCACTTGCCCGTTCCATTCAGAGCCGAGGTATGGCCATCGTCACGGGTGTATAATATTGGGCAAGGAGGGCGTGGAGGAAGTAGGTCAAATACGAGGAGGACAGTCGAAATAAAAGTGGGATAAATATTAGGAGGGCAAAAGAACAGGAGTATGAGAAGACCTAAGATATGAATGTAGAATCAGGAGCAGGATAAAGACTTAAGGTGATGCAGGCAGGAAGGATGAGAATGGGGAGGACCCAGGTGGCTAATGATGACGAGGAGGCTCAGGGTGAGGAGGAGGCGGCTGAGGATGATGACGACGATGACTGTTCTGTTAGTGTTGTGCGTTCGCGCGGATTTTCTGGCCGGGGAGAGGCACGTGGGCTTGCGGATGAGCGTGTGTCCACCCAGTACCTGCAACCACGTGCACAAAACAAACACGCACAGGTCAGTGCTGCATCACCACGGATACAGAGTAGCCTGTCTCCATAGAAACATACTCAGTAATGTGTCTCCATGGAGACAAACAGTTACTTGTCTCCATAGAAACATACTCAGTAATGTGTCTCTATGGAGACACATCCACCTATCTCCATAGAAAAATGCTCAATAATGTGTCTCCATGGAGACAAACAGGTACTTGTCTCCATAGAAACATACTCAGCAACGTATCTCCATGGAGACACATTTGTTTTGTCCCCATAGCAGCATATTCAGTGATGTGTCTCTATGGAGACACACGGAGTAGCCTATCTACAGAAACACACGAGTAATTCGTCTCCATGGAGATAGACCATCAATGATTATCCGCATGGTTACCCACGGTCATCACCGCATCTCCATGGAGACGCACCATTTAAATAAGTATACATAAAGGACACACTTAGGTTATGAGCGTGGTTAATACAGACAGTCATAATAATACAATACAAGAATATATCATTACAGTTATTCTATGACATAGCCATCATGGTGTCTGCGTCATAGACTTCCGAGCAACGTGATCCATAAAACTGTTGTTACAACTGAAAGTGATCGTTCCATTGCAGCGTTGCAAAGCGAGCCTCTCTGGCCTTCACGTGGAGCTGACGAGCACGTGACAGGGACTGAAGCTCATCGCTGAACCCGTCCCTTGTCACGACGAGAGAGAGGAGAGAGCAGCTTTAGAGCTCCTCTCCTCCCACCCGCCCCATCGTGCCCCACGTGCATGGCTAGCAGCATTGCCAGATGGAAGGTTTTACCCCTATACCTAGAGATTGTGTTCTTGGAATTAGTTCTATATGGGGAGGGGTGGATGGAGGGGTTCTGATTTTTTTAAAACCATCTGGAGGGAATTGCCGCGGGCCGATGTCTTGTTTTGCTGACCGGTTGGGTTTTGCGTCTGTCGTTGTTTGCTTTGTTTGATCCCTCCTTTGACGCGTAGACGGGTTTTGTTTTGATTTCAGAAAATTAAGTGGATGTTTGAAATAACCGAAGAGTCATTTAAAAGTGGATCTTCTCAAGTATAGCAGAGTTGATGGGCTCAGCTTAATCACCGATGACTGCACGCAATTTTTTTTATCAATTTACATTTTCTCCTTCATTTCATTTGGCAAAAATTCCAGCTCTAACAATTACACGATCAGCTTGGCAGTGATACTATACGAACTTCAATTTCAGTGGAGGGGCAGGTGGAGAATGCGTTGCCCCCTACTGCGTGGAACAGAGCTTGATGGGATCTCAGAGGTAGTTCTGTGGCATCCGCTTCTGCGGGCCGTTCTCTAACACGAAGGATGGCACTGCTGTGTGAAAAATCCGAATGGTTACTTCGTCTTCACGGCATGACACCGATTGCAATAAGTGGGATAAAATGGGGGGGAAAGTTTGATAATAACTAAAGCAATTAAAACGTATGGGATATTTTTTGGCGGTATCAAAGTTTAACAAAAGTAAGTATGGGGTTTACCCTTGCTGGAACTCAAACAGGCGTTCAGATGTTCAAACAGCAAACAGATATATTAACAGAACATGTTCGCATATTTTGCCACAAGCGCTGTGTGCAGTTAATGCAGACTTGATTCCTTGCAAAATATATCCATTTTGTGTTTTAACATCTTAACACCTTTTGTATTGCCAGTAAGGGTAAAACGTATGTTTATGTTTCATACTAGGTTGTTTTAAAATGATGGACCCAATTTCAAAGCAGTATAATTTCACGATGGCAACATGTTACAATTACACAAAAAGTTACAAACGGTTTAATGAGTTATCAAGTTTTACTAACCATTTTATAAATGTTTATAAATGCTCTATGCGCCCTCCACCTGCTGTACGGACAACATCGAGAGGATAGTTGAATTCGTCCCAAACGCCTCTCTTCTCACGTTTCCCTCTGAGGTGCGTGGTCGCCTTGTGCTCTTCCCCTTACATAAACAGCAGCCCGTTTCCTCAAATTGTCGGTACCAACGACATTGGCGGATCAATGCCAAAACGCCGTTGAAACGCACGCTGCACCGCAATTATGGATTCAGTCTTGCTGAACTGCAGAAGGCGAAACGCCCCTTGTGTTGTGGCGGTCACCGTCTTGCCAATGACTGAGGCTAGGGGCTGTTTGTGCGCTGGGGTCACCATCTAGAGAATGACTGAGGCTAGGGGCTGTTTGTGCGTTGCGAGAGGCATCATTTGAAACTCTGTGCCCCGCCCTCTCTATGCCCCGCCCTCTCTATGCCCCACCCTTTCAAGTGGTAAGAGTTTAATTCATGGGCAGTTCGTGGTTGCAGAGATATCGCGATTTAAAATCGGGTCCATCTCTTTTAAACAACCCTGTACTTTGATACTGGCAAAAAAAGTCTCATGTTATCGCTGCTCACCCCAGCTATAAATGATCTGATACGTGTGGCATTGTCGTTGTACTGTTCGTCTTTTGGCGTTGTTCCCTGGTCTGACACTGGCAGTGAGACGAGGCCATAGAGAAAGCTTTCTCTGGTGTAGGCCAATCAGTTTCAAAGACAATGTTTATATTATCAGAGCATGTTTGTTTGCATGTTCACCATAAGTACTGTGTGTGGTTAATGCAGACTCGATGCCTTGCAAAAGGTTCCTATTTGGTGTTTGAACATCTTAACACAACTGTTGTATTGCCAGAAAGTGTAAAACTTATTCTTATTTTTCAAAATTACTGCGGTAAACAGCTCCGCATCTTCAGTTGGGATTTGTTTTTTCCATCTGGCAAATCTGGTGACCAATGTCCTTTGGTGTCAGTACGTTGTCAAATGCACTGAGTTTCAAATTTAAAATAAGCAGGACAATGTACTCCCATTATAATCCCATAAAATATTAACTTAATTTACCTCATTCTAAGTGCACATGAGGAAAAAAATTGCCTCGTGGGAAGGTATAATTTTACTCTTATTTTATTATAATTACATTTTCCACATCTGTGAAAAAATATGTGCTTGAAAGAGCCTGATGGCTCATCGGATTCCTCCGGTATAAATACATTTTCTGATTCTGAACAAAACGAGCATGAACACAGAACTAGGATAGAAGGTGTCGCCACATCAGTTTAAGACGGATTCATTTCAAAACCCTGGCTGGGATTTAGAGCAGAGAAGAGTTGCAGAGGAAAGAGAGAGGAAGAGGGAGAAATGGTGAAAGAGAATGGGATCATTAAATATCTTGAGGGGGTAAGATGATCAAACCAACGATAAATTAGCAAGTCGGACCCACACCATCCTCAAGGCATCCAGCGATCCCCGTGTGAGAGAGACTCCCACAATATTCAATTACTCCTCGTACCCCGTGTTCCGCCAATGTTCTAAAGTGGGAAGATCTGGAGTTTTCCACTGGCTCAATTTGCAGGAGGAGGCTGAAAGGCACTGATGGGAATTTTCATAGAGGGTCCCGTGGGGAGAGGAGATGAAATCACGAGTGAAGAAATGCCCAACAGGCACGTGTGACTAAGGAGGGAGGGGTCACGGTGTCCCTAAAAAGTAATTGACAACAGAACCATAAGGTATGGGAATAGGTGTGTATGGGCTGGTTGGAGTTTTATTTTAATGGCTTATCAATTGTTCAAATTTATTATCGACATGGCAGCTGCATGGGTTAGCCAGACACCCGTGAGTCGCTCATTCCTTGCTATCGCCTCTGCCGGCGATGACGCAAACACCAACCACCGTATTCTCCGGATTATACGACTCTCCGGAAAATAAGACGCACTCCAAACGTGTTCCCGGTATACAACTCTCAGCACGAAAGACAAAGACCGCCCGCATAGCCTGAACAGACGTGCTGTTGGTGAGCACCAATCAAGGCCGGCAGGGCACACGATGGCGTAGGTGGCCAGCACCACGCCCGGCCGCCTTTGTCTCCCTAGCGGTGATGTTTACACACAGCACCAGGTACCCGTTTGAGGCTGAGTCGACCTAGGGGAGGCCCGGGACTGGTTCAGATAATCGTCAGAGCATGCACACACACACACATACGCACCTACTGGCTTATACGTCCTATTCGCGCGACAACAGCCACGTGCCCGGACACACACCGCGTCAGCGTCCTTGGTGGTGGCCGCGTGTGCGCATCTCAACCTGCGCATGGCATGAGAGAGGCACGGCTCCTCCGCAACTTTTGTACGGGAAAGGAGCAAAGCAAGCAAGTCATATGCTGTGCCCCCCCCACCCCCACAGATAATATCCTTCATAGCCACCCCCTCCCGTGAAGACTCGATATGACATAGCCCCCCCTTATCCTTGACTACTTGCCCCCTCCTCCCCCCCCCCCAAAATAAGTCTAAATCATTCTCACGCCCCTGCAACCGAGCTTCCCAGCTGCTGGAGGACAAACGCCGAGCACCTGGTTGAAATTAGGGTTAAATTCCTCGGTGTTATAAGGTTTTTTTTCATTATTTACTTGGTATGTGTAGATACTGTATATACATACAACTGTTCACGTGCTGTTTGTTGAACATCCACTGACACAAGTGCCCGCGTGCATACATGTATACATCCATTTGTCCATCAATTTCACTGCTGGATGAGGGCCTCCCTTCCCCAACGTCGTGTACTGGGTCGACGGGGAGCATAGACGTGGGGGCATTAGTATTGCCAACTCAGAGTGATTTTATTAACTTTTTTTTTTAATATATCCCACAATTAAAATCTCCCGGATTGCTATCCATCGTGACCGATCAAGACCAATTCCGGTAGACTCCCGGCCAATCCGGGACGGTTGGCAACCATGGGGAGAGCAATGTGGCTTGTTGCTGAGCGGCCGGTCCTCTACTGCCCAACCACGTAGCCCCACAGCAGCAAGAAGCACCTATAGCACCTGTCGATGCACGCACGGTGTCCGCCCATCCAAAACACTATCCGGGCTTAGCTTCCGAGATCTGACTTGTTTGGGTTGCCTTAAGAGGTGGTGTGAATTGCTTGATGAGCCAATCGAGTCAGTAGAACTCCGATTTTTATTCAATGAGCCTGGGTGTCTATCAACGGAGATTTGAGTTGGTATGTCTGCTGTGTAACCATATTCTCCGGATGATATGATGCATTTTTTCTCGTACAGTATTTAAAATCAAAAGTTTAACTAAACTATTAACACTATAAACTAGTTTTAAATGTTTACCAGGTAAGGCCCAATTAGCTATATAGCTCTTTTTCAGAAGCGACCTATCACAAATGATAGCTCACGTGGAAATGTATAGTAGCCCATTGCTCTAAACGCGCGTTGATCATGATAAATGTGGAGGGAAAAACCGGAGGACCAGGAGGAAAATCCACGTGACGACGAGGAGAGAGAGACGTGCAAGCTCCAAATATACAACAGGCGTCAGGGTCGTGATCGAACCCACGATCTCCTCCATATCAGGCAAGGGAGTTAACGTCTCACCACCGCGGCGTCTTATAATCCGATACGTGTGTATGTATCTGTGTATGAATATATTACTTTATTGACACCGGGCACAAGTATTTAGGGTTCGTATTACTTTCCGGAGCGTCTTATAATCTGGAGAATGCATGAATAGAATCGGTGGTTATGTCAATGAATCGAATACCAGAGTTCATTAACGGTAAGAATGGGGTTTGATTAATAGTTTCAGGAGCCATGCGTAATGAAACGACATGTGCAGTACTTGTATTAAGAATGTAAACATGAATTCAATTACAGTAATATGACCTGCAGCTGTATATTTTAATTTACAGCAGTTCTGTTAATGCAACCCAGAGTTGCGTTGAATTGGTTAATGGGTGCAAGATGTCCCAAATTTTAATGTAGCCTAACCTCAACTCTTCAATGCCAAAGCAGTCTAAACTATAACCACAGA